GTAGTCAAAATAACTAAAATGGTAAATCTGTAGTTTGTATAGCTTATAAAAATGATATCTCCTCTATACAATTTTAGTAATAGGTTTTACCAAAAGTAACAAACCATTGCAGAACTAAAGAAGGGAGTTACACACCCTGTTTTCCAAGGCTGTTGATCTTAATCTAATCACTCATTTTGTCAACATGGATATCAAAAACCTAAAATGAAATCTTAGTAAATCCAATGTAGTGGTGTGCTAAAAATAAAATGCACATAACCAAGTATCAGCCTAAGAACATGAGAAAAATGAGTAACATGATTTTTCTTCATCTGTTATTTTTCCCAGTTGTGTTTAAAATCATGAAAGATAATTGAGCATCCACCCATGGCAAAATGCCTCAAATTCCAGGAGCAGACAGGAATCTTCTTAACCTGTCCATGTTATCTGTGAAGAAATAGCTATGGCAAGTTATTTAATAGTGAGAACCTTAGCGTAAGATTCAAGTCAGGTATAAGAACTATAGCAATGCTATGACCCTTTCAACAGTATTCTGGGGTAGCCAGTCAAGTAAATGGAAAAAGGGGTGGGGGTTTAAAGGATGAGAGGAAACCATCTTCACATGGTGCAGTTGTCTACATAGAAACAAGAAACTGCCACAACTAAGTCAGCGAAGTTGAACATCACCAAATCCACCACTGAGATCAATAGCAGACCCTGTGATGATTATAAAATAGAGAAAATAGTAGGATGCATGGGGATGGCCTTATGATAAATCATTTTATTTCGATGTCCAGGACAGCAAGGAGAAGCCCTGTGAGTGAGAGGCAAGGGCAGACTGTCCTGCCTGTGGTTAAGTCCTCTGTGTACCCTCAGACAGATGCCAGGTGAAGGGTAGCTCTGGGCAGTACTGGAGCTGAAAGGAAGTGCCTTAGACCAAGCATTTTCCATCATGAAAAAGAATTAGTTACTTGTCTCTTTGCTCTGAGAAAATATCTGACAGCGGCAACTTAAGGGGGAAGGGGGAGTTTATTCTTGCTCACAGTTGAGAATGAAATCCATCATGGTGGGAGTCAGGAAGGCAGGGCAAGAGGCACCGGGCACATTTCATCCCAGTCAGGAATCAGAGAGACGAGGGCTGCTGCTCAGCTCACTTTCTCCTACCCAGTTGAGGACCTGAGCTCATGGAATGGTGCTTTTCACAGTTTGGGTGGGTCTTCCCACTTCAGTTAATCTAATCGAGAAACTTCTTCACAGATATGCCCAGAGGCTTGTCTCCTGGGTGATTATCAACCTGTCGAGTTACCAGTCAATGTCAACTGCCTCGAGTGTGCACGGCACACATACACATAGAATCAAGTCTCATTTATTATATGCTGAAAAGATACTTATTTTGCACTGCTTGTGGGCTGAACATGTTCTCAGGCACTATATATGTAATACTGACAAGAAAGACACAGTCATTGCCCCTGTGAGACTTACACTCTTAAGAAAGACAGAAAACAGATTTAAACAACAGTACTGGTAGATACTGTGCAGAAGATGGGGTGCAGGAATGAAGCAGGGCGGGGAAAGTCCTTGCCGAGAGCTACTTTGGAACCAAGGACTGAATAAGGAAGAGGGGCTAGAGAGACTTGTGCCCTGGCCTGGGGGTGCAAGGTGCTTCAGTCAGGAGAAGCAGTCAGCCTGGGGTGACTGAAAGGAAGAAAAGACCAAAGGAGGGGAACGAGGCCCGAGAAACCAGCTGCCCATTCAAGGCCTAGAGGTGTGGGTGTTGTGAAATTCAAGTGGGAAAGAGCTCCATAGGGGAGGGAGCCTGTGATGCATGTTAAGTGATGCTGGCCCCCAGATGCTCAGCTGATCATCAAGGGTGGTTAGGGGTGCTAGGTTGATACCCATGCAGGCATGTTGTCATCACATTAAATCTAATTGACATCAGTGGCTGTTGCTGACAGGATATAGGAGAAATGAAGAATGGTAGTCACCCCTAGACTTGAATTCTGAGGTCCAGAACAGCCACAAGGAAAGTCTGAATAAGCAAGTTTGGGGGAGCCATGCTGAAAGAGCCAAGTTTGGCTCAGCCTGTGGGATGACCAGACAGTAGGAGAAACCTGCTCCATTGGCTCTCGACAGAACGGAGGTCAACCTGTGATAATTATGCAGGGGGTAGCACTAGGTTTACCACTGGAGAGTGGAGTGCTTTGAAGATTGTGCTGACTAGTTTTTATGTCAGCCTGCCTCAAATTAGTTATCTAAGAGGAGGAAACCCCAGTTCACAAAATGCCTCTATAAGACCAGACTGTAGGCAAGTCTGTTGGGCATTTTCTTACTTAGTGATTGATGGGGGAGGATCTAGCCCATGGTGGGTGGTGCCATCCCTGGGCTGCTGGTCCTGGGTTCTAGAAGAAAGCAGGCTGAGCAAGCCAATAAGGAGCAAGCCAGTGAGCAGCACCCTCCATGGCTTCTGCACCAGCTCCTGCCTGGAGGTTCCTGTCATGCTCAAGTTTCCTGTCCTGACTTCCTTCAATAATGAATAATGATGTGGAAATGTAAGCCAAATAAACCCTCTCCTCACCATGTTGCTTTTAGTCACGGTGTTTCATCACCCTAACTAAGACAGGGGAATCCACAATCTGAGCCCCTACTGTTGAAGGGTGAAGTTCTTGCCATACATACAACCCCCAGAGACTAGGTAATGCTCATCCCACAGTCAAGAAGAGGGGATGCCTAACTGAATGAGTTTGTGCATGTGGCCACTGAGCTTTCTTCCGGACCTTTGATAAGCAACGATAAAGCCTAGTCCCCAGTGCTCTTGAACTGGCACAATGTCATCAGCCACTAGCTACCAAGTTTTAGTTAAATATATTTGTCCTCCACGCCATAAAACATTAATGTTGGCAGCATGTTGGTTCCATACAGTAACCATAAGACCACACAGAAGTGTGGCTAGAAAATTGTGGCTTGCCCTAGATGTGTGCCAGGACCTATTAAAGAGCATGGTGGGTGTGGGGGTTAGAGATTTTGTTTTTGTTTTAAGAAGAAAAGAGCTAAGGAGAGTAGGAATGAAACAGAGGGAGAGCCGTTGCCTCAATTTCAAGCACATCTGCGTCTTTCCTGCTTAAACTTCCCAGCTGTGTCCTGGTGGCACAGTGGAGATAAGGAGGCGGGAGTATCGGGTTCATGTACAGCCTGGACTACATAAAAGCCTATTTCAGAGCGCTGAGTAATAATAGTTTTCTTACTGTCTAGAGCTGTCCTTTGCCTGTAGTTTCCTCACTGTGTGAAGGATTGGGGAAACAGCGTTTGTCATCTGTCTGATGTGTCTCTTTGCCCCCTTTCGCTCGCCTCCTTTTTATGGGTTCATCGCGCATTTTCCTGCAGTGTTCTATTTGTTCTGTGCTAACGCATTGGACTTTACTGCTGTAATTACAACAATTCAGTCCTTTTTATCACCGGGTTCTCCTTTTCAAATCTGTATTCCTATGTTAGAGTCCATACATTAATTTCCTTTTTTTATAAAACTTGGAAGTTTCTGATTGTATTGAATTTTCATATTAAGTAGGGAGAGGCATTCTTTTAACAAATTGTTTTTGTTTTTTCTGGCCTTATAAGTGATCCAGTAAGATTACATGTGTGAAACTGGAGTCCAAAGAGCTCTTACAACCTGAGATGGAAATATGGCTGAATTACTTTATAGACTGGGTACTGAGAGCATATCTTCATCTGTGGCTCAAAACCTAGGTATAAAACCAAACGTCAATATAATGTAAACGCATAAAGAAGACAACGGCTTTTACATGGCAAAAGTGTGTACAAAAAAAGACAAAAAGCAAAAGACACAACAACAGAATCATAGTGCAGCATGCGTCATGACAGATGAAGGTATAAACCATAAGGGCTATTTCACCATTGTACAGTAAACTAAATGGTGTTCCCATACTGACAGGAGTTGTCTTACCTATACATAATAATGTGCGTGTGTTCACAATTGCATATATATGCATCAAGTGCTAGTCAATTTGTTCCTCCCTCTGAAGCCCACCAGGGCATCCCTCTCCAGCTCACATTTTTGTATGGAAAGGTATCTATAGAGGAAGGCAACCGGGAAATTCTCAGACACTTTAAGCCCAAACTAAGATGAGCTTTTTTTATTTCTTCCGCTTTCTTTATTTCTTTATTTCCAGAAGGAACTCCTTTCTCCCCTGTTCCACACAGCCTTCAGAGCTGTCCATCCATCTTTCGTTAGCATCACTCTTCAGGGCCCTTCAAATACCATCATCTAACTACTGTGCAGTTGTGATGGGAGATGCTGTCATCATTGTGATTAAGCTTGTCGCCAGTGAGTGCCGACAGTCAGCTGTGGTCCTTTTTTATTTTTATAATAAGAAGACACTTGTGAGTAGTAAGCTTCTCAGTATTGACAATGATAGTATATTAGTCAAAATTTCGATTCCTATGACGGAAATCCTGAGGAAAATGCCATGAGAGGATGTATTGTAGCCCTCAGTTCAGCAATCTCAGTGCATTGTTGGCTGGTTCTACTATTTTGGGGCCGTGGGTGGGCAAAGCATCATGACTAGGGGTGTGTCCTGCAGAGCAAAGCAGCCTATGGCAGCTGGGAAGCACAGGGAGAGAGGAGAAAGTACCAGGGCAAGATCCAACCGAAGACCGCCCTCAGACACCCACTTGGTCTGCTGGGCTCCACCTGGTAAAGTTGCCAGCACCACTAGTTGGGAACTGAGCTTTCATCTCCAGCCTGTGGACCATTACACATCCCAGCCATGGCAGAGGGATTATGGCCAACTGTAGCACACCGTGCTGACCAGCCACCTAGCTCTCTCTGTAAAATAATTATTTTGTTTTACTTTATTTCATTTTACTTTTAAAATCCAGTGGGTCTGTGAGTAATTCTGAAACATTTAAGATTTTTAAACTATCATTTTGTAAAACATAAAGAAAATTATTTGTGTTGTAACCAGCTGTCTTAACCGTCAAGCTACCTTTTTTTTTTTTCTGTTTAGATTCCATCACCCAACACAAAGTCTGTGACTTTGACAACTACCAGTTGCTACAATGAGAGACAATGGCTGCTGCCCTCAACACTCAAGAAAAGCAGCCATGGAAAGAAGGAACCAGTGTACAGCTTAAGGCTTGATGTCGCACATTACCTCGTGTGCTATTGTTTTTATCTTCAGTGTGGTGTGTGTGGAGGAGGAGGTGCTGGAGATTAAATCCAGGGCTTACTAAGCAGGCACTCTACCACTGAGCTACATCTCCAGCTTTTATCTTCAAAACTCTTTTATGTAATTTATTCATGACTCATATTGTATTTCAGAGAAATCTTGGCCAGCACCAGTTGGGGTTTTTTTTTACAATACTAATAATGACCATGATGAAAAGGTCACAGAACTTTTATCTTCAAGTTACTTTACTCCCAATTACAGAATGGAAATTGATTTAAATTGCTTTAGTCCTAAACAATCAAGCAGACCCCTAACTTTCTTGGCTTGGACTCTGAGATCTTTGTTAGTATGCTCTGTCTGGATAGGAAGGTCAACCATGCATTGTTAAGATTACACTTATGTCTCTGAGATGCTTCTCAGAGCAGTCAAGGAAGATGGGTCTGAAAGTTTTGTACAATGACTGTGTCTGCCTTCTGAACGGCTATCATTCAGCCTCAAATGGCTACCGCAAGCTTCTCTAGGCAAAGTCAGCTGCTGGGACTGAATTGTCAGGGGTGTCCAGCCCATGGCCCATGTGTCATATTTGTCAAAGGATAACTATGAATGTGGCTAATACAAAATTATAAACTTACTTAAAAGTATTATAAGGTGTGTGTGTGTGTGTGTGTGTGTGTGTGTGTGTGTGTGTGTGTGTGTGTTGAGAGGTAACTCAATTGCACAGTTCTTGTGAGTGAACTTTGTAGATGACCACATTGCATTGCAATATGAAAAGCCTGGATATACCATCAGGTTGGTAACTCTTCATTGTGTTGACACAGGGTCTCACTATATAGCCCAGACTGGCCTGGAGCTTGCAGACCTCCTGTCCACATCCCAAATGTTGGGTTATAGTCGTGTGACACCACATTCTCATGCTGCTCCGGCACCTAACAGAGATACTGAGTCTCAGTGAGCTTGAAGGTGTCACTCTGCTCATTGCGATTTTCTGTAATGTGATTGGTTGCTCATGTCAGCTGCTGTTTCCAACTCAATAAGTCTTAAGTCCACTTCCAAAATCTTGTCATTTTAGTGATAAGCATTTGAATCATACAATATGTGACTTTGTGGCATTGGCCTTTTCACCATGTAATTAATGCTCTGATGATTCATTCATGTCATGTGTGGCAGCAGACAATTCCTTTTTGTTGCCAAACAGTATTCTGTGGCATGGCTGTTCTACAGCTTTGTTATTCATCCCCTGAATAAAGTGAAGGAATGAAGCCCAGTGGGAATGGCCCTCTGAAATTTAAAGCAATTTGTGGTGTCGTGTGTACTGGATGATCCAGCAGTCCAGGCTCCTTGGAAGGAGCAGATCAAATGAGAGTGAGAGAGACCCCATTTATCATTGTCCCCTCTTCTATAATCTGAATAACTGCTTTCCCTCACAAATCATGGCTGGAAACCACCACTCCCAAATGGTGTTAGGAGGTTTTAGAGAGGTGACCCCATCATGGAGCCCTGGAAGGAGACTCAGGGTAAGCTCTCTGCTTCTTCCACCACATGAGGATACACCAATAAGGCACTGGGATCCCCAAAAATGACTTGTTCAAACCATACATACCCTAAATGACTCGTGCACTATGGATTTTGGAGTCTCCCAGTTCTGTTGCTCATTGGGAAAGTGCCAACACCCAGTCTGTACCACACCCAGGCCTTGAGCGGGACACAGCAGCGTCTTGAGAAGCAAAGGAAGACAAAGATGTTCACTGAGAGAAGTTAGGATGGAGGTCAAAGCAAGACCGAAGGGAAGCATGTGTGAATCTATCAGCAGCCAGGTCTTGGTACACCATTCTGTACGGTCCTATTCCCTTAGATCAGCATCAAGAGCAAGTTGCTGTCCCCTCTCTCTTCGCATGCGCAAAGCCATTAACCTGTTTGCACACAGCAAGTGGTAACTCCTTGCTTCCTTCTGTGACCTGATGCAGACCTGGCTAATTCAATCCTTGTTGACCGACTTCAGTCCTTCACTTAACTCCCACTCCCTGGAGCTCATCTCACCCTCCAAACATGTAGTTGACCTTTCAGGTGACCAACCCCAGCCAGAAGCTATCTAGAGGAGGGTCATCATGAGGAGGTTCTCCAGAATGACTTCAGGATTCCTCAGATTGATTTTCTCCATTTTCTCCACAGTGAATGTATTAAACTGGTTAAATCACCACTAACTCCTTTGTGCCATGATTCCTAATGTTAATGGTTGAATTGGGTAGATTTTCATTTTTTTTCTTAACAATCCTTTGAGATTCTGCAATTCAAGTTACTTTCATGCATCAGAATAAATATAAAAACCCAAAGACAAGCATCTCCTATGTGTCACAATAAATATAAAAGCCCGAAATGAGCATCTCCTGTCTCTTTGCTCATCAGAAACCATTACTAGCGCACTTGAAGACATTAAGACAACAATTTTGAAAGTTAACCACCAACACTAACAAGGCTGGCCATGTGTGCCTGAACACTGCTGGTGACTTGATAAATTGACACAACGTCTTGATTTTTACTTGTGGAAATCAGACCTAGCACCTCCTGCGTGCTGAGCAAGCAAGCACTCTAACCCTAAACTACATCCCTGGCCTTTCACATGACAACGTGAGGAAGCAATTTGTTGATCACCATGGAAACACAGGTATTTATGCCCTAAATCCATGTGATGTGATTGTAATCTTCTAAGAGAAGGAAAGTTGCACGTACCCAGTTCCTTCTTTATTTTCCTGTTGCTAGGGTAAAAGACCCTGACAATATCAATGTAAGGGTTTTCTGCCACAATACACGAGTACAGCCCGACATTGTGGGAAGACAAGACAGCAGGAACCTGAAGCGGCCGGCCACATGACATCCCATCCATAATCAGGAGCACAGCAGTGAGTGCTTACTGCTGCTCAGCCTCCTTTCACCGCTTATGCAGGCCAGGACCCTACCCAGGGACAAGGCCATCTGCTTTAATGGGTACTCACGCCCCATTTAACGAAGGCATGCCCCGAGGCCCAGCTCCCAGGAAATCCTAAATTCTGTCAAGTTGACCACACTTACCATCACACCAGCGATGTTCACTATAGCAATACTCACCATCAAGCATGAATTCCACTGAAAGGAAATAGATGCCCAGCAAAAAGAAACAATTTTTTTAATTATTAGAAATCAGTCTGGTGAAATGTCAAGCAGCCCTTATAATTATGGGAAATAATACAGTGGAAGAAGCATTTATAATATGAAATAAAATACAAAATTATGCAATTCTACTATAGTCCACCATGCAAATTTTATTTGCACAATACAGTGTTCTAGGACAATAGCATGAAAAATGATTGAAGTAAAGTAGACCATTTGGTTGATTTGTTGATTTGTTAGTGCTGTAATATTTATCCAGGAATACTTGTAATGATTTTGAAATGCAAACTTCAGCCACCTACAGTCAAAACCAAAGCTCTTGAGCTTCAGGGAGGTGGAGATGAGCTTCCTGAACTAAGGTGTTAGCGGAACTGACTCCTCTTTGGAGCCCTGCAGAGAAACCCTGCATTTTTTTCCTAGGTGAGGGGTGCCCACCCCTACCCTTTGGCCTTTCCCCTACCTTAGTCATAGCAAGGTAGAGCCTTTGCCCATTCACTCCACTCTGATGCTTATTCCCAGGCCCCCTATTATCTTCAGCCGAGGGGCCTTGTCATTACAAGGACTACCCAGGTAATCCAGGATATTATCTTTATTTAAGTCAACTGAGTACCCACTTTCCCATATACCTCTGCAAGTGAGGTACCTCAGTTGCAGATTCAAGGGTCGGAACATGGGTGTCTTGACAAGGCCTTGATTCTGCTTCCTACGCTGCTCTATACTGCCCTACACTGCCCATAGTTCTCCTCACATGAAACCTGAGGCTTGGTGACAGCCGTTTTCTGGGGCACAGCCTGAGACAAGTCATTTACTGTTTCTTCAACTGGTGAAATCATCCCACCTGCCCTGATGTCTGGCAGCCCAGGGTCCAGGGCCAGGGGACACACCCTCCTGCAAAAGGAAGTCGGGGCTCTGAGGTCTGTATTGAGTTGTGTCCACCCAAACAACTCATGGGTGTTCCCAGCACAGATTAGAAAATGTCCACTAAATAGCCCTGGGTCCAAATAACCCAAGAGCACAGAGACAGTAGGCAATTTGTTCAATTATTGTGTGCTCAGCAATTATTTGATTTAATTAATATTCGGTTGTGGATCCTGTTATAGAGTTATCTGTGGTTACAGTGTTACATTCTCTGCTCTCAATGTTGCTTTTTCTACTAATTTAAAGCTGTGAAGGTTTTGTGTGTGCCAAGAAGACAGTATCTGGTTTTCTCCCTCTAATATTTGAACTGTTAACTGAAAGACAGTAATTAAAATTATTGACCTGAAACTAAACAAGAGCACACACATATTCTACAGGCTAAACTAATATTTTATTTGGTACGAGTTCCCAGCTTAGGCGTTCCTATTTTCCCAAAGCCTTAAGACCTTCCAGGGGCAAAGCTCCACCTAGAATTCTAAGATACTGGCAGCTGCTGTGGCTTTATTAATCTGGTTTCAATTTTTTAAGCATTTGGATTCACGGCTTATCTATGGGAACAAATGATTGTTCTATCTTGAAGAGTCCAGAGGGAAGATTTACTGAGAAAGTTAACTTCATATCCCCTTCTGTGGGCCAGCCAGTGTGATCTCGCCAGAGCTAAGGGAAGAGGAATGGCAGGGAGGAACTCCCTCCTGGGCTGGGCCAGCATCCACAGGGGAGAGACAAGGGCTCTATCAGTCAGCCCACTGGGCCAGAGAGAGCCAGAGAAGAGGAGACTGCCAGACCTCAGGGCTCAATACCAAGAGCACCCTATCAACCAGATGGGGCGCTCAGCCAGTGGTGTGAAACCCAATCATTAAATTATTGGGAACCAGTTAGGGGAGGCGAGAAGACTCTGTGTCCCGAGAGTGTGAAGTTGGGGGCGGCAGGGGCAGGGCAGGGGTTTGGACTCGGGAGACAAGCTTCATTCGGAAAACAGAGTGAGGATGCTGTATGGGACAGGGCCAGTAGCACAGAGGGAAGTAGATGGCTCAAGACAGATCTCCTTTCTCGGGGTGATGAAAAGCTGTCACCTCAGCTTGTGGCCACGGAGCCAAGAACGGACTGTGCAGCAGTCTTCCGACACGATCAGATCTCACAGAGAAATTTGAATATTTTGAATTCTAGCATTTTTTTTAATGAGGCTTTCTGCCCCAGGCCTTGTTAAGGGTTTATTGCACACACACGGACCACCTTACGATATCCTTTGAACCCAAATTAGACCTTAACTCTTAACATTCTCGTGCCCCCGCCATTCTTAACATTTACCTTCTTACAAAAGTCTGTGGTTGGTTCATACAAAACAGAAAAAGAATATAGTAGGTCATTAGCTGAACATTTATTCTGTATTGGTTACTATGACAAGCCCCAAGGGTCAGACGTAGCTAGGACAGCGCTGCCCTCAGAGAGCTGAGGACTTCTTGCTACAGCACTGCCCACAGGGTGATGGCCTTGAAGGGACTGAATACATGTGAGCTCCTGTGTATCAAGTTCAGAAAGGGACCAGAAAGAGGTCAGATTCGCACAGAGGAGTAGGGAGGCAGTGTTCTGCATCCAGGAAGGAGGAGAGGAAATTCTGGAGAGGCCTCCATCATACATGAGCCTCAGCCACTGGGGAGAGACTCTCTACTTTCAGGGGAGAAATGTGGAGAATTTGGACTACTGGCTTGTAAGGAGCAGGATGGGTTTGAAAGGTGCTTGGGAGAGGGTACTATTAGGACTGGGTGGTAGTATTTGCTGAACTAGGGGCAGAATTGAACAAGGATGAGTCACAAGGTCCAGGTAGGACTCAGTTCCCTGTGCTGGTTGCAGCAGGAGCCATCAGTGGATGGGAAGAAACAAGAGTTCTTGTGCACACTGCTCTGTGGATCTAAGTTAGACACTACAAGGAGTAGACACACGCCTCTTTTTATTTATTTCTGAAACCTTTTTACATAGCCCTGGTTATATAGACTCAGGATTAGGCCAGCCTGACCTTGAACTCAACAGAAATCTACATACATCTGCCCCTCCCCAAGTGTTGGGATTAAAGGTATGCACCACCAAACCTGGCAGTTACAGACTTTGACATGCAACGATTTACGTTATCCAACAGTACATTAGTCATTTCCAGCCATGCAGCACATGTTCTTATGTAAAGACGTAGAACGAAGGGCGGCTGGG